TCCAGTTTACAATTTGGAAGCTTCACTCCTAAATCTTGCAGGTTGTTGTTACTTAAGTCCAGCTCTCTCAGTTTACAGTACTGGGAGCTGAGAACTGAGGAGATTGCTTCACCGCTTTTCTCCGAGAGGAAACAGCCAGTCAGTCTGAAAAAAAAAAAAAAAAAATTCCAAGCTAAAGTGAACAAATGTCAATTTGCAAAACAATTCATAATTGACATAACATTTAAGCTAAGACCAAAATGTAAAATTTTTAAATTGCTCAGTACGGTCACACTAATACCTCTTCATTGAAATGGACAAAGAGCTGGTACATTTAGTTACACTATTTTAGTGCTGACACAGGTAGTGAGGACTGCTGGTCACTCATCTTTAAATAATGTTGGTAGATATAGTTCAAATTAATCCTTATTTATTTCAAATACTTATGTCTGGTTTAGTCCTCAACAAGTGAAACACATGCTCAACTGGGTTAGGATCAAGCAAGTGACTTGGCCATTCAAGAATATTCCACTCCTCTCCTTTAATAAACTCCTGGGTTGCTTTAACTGTATGTTTTGGGTCATTGTCCAGCTGTATTATGAAACACTGCCCAAATCAGTTTAACTGCATTTAGCTGGATCTGAGCAAACAGTATGTCTCTGAACACCTCAGAATTAATTCAGCTGCTTCTGTCCTGTGTCACATCATCAATAAACTCTAGTAAACTCTCAATAGTCATCTCAAGTTGTTTAACTACATAAGGTTAAAACCCTACAATATTGGCAAGAAAGCCCGACCATCAGAAAATCCACTGTAAGCAGCGCTGGTGATAATGGGAAGGAAGAACAGTAAAATACTCCAGATTAAATTAGGAAGACCATCTACCATGACTGGTTGCAGGTGTTGAGGTTTAAATTTATCATCTTAAATGTTTATATGCTGATTATATTGCTTTATGTAAGAAAGGCCTAATTCTGAATACGCTCTGTGCCAAAAAGTGCTGACAGGAAACTGCATGCTATTGCAGAGCGTGCTTTTGCAGCTAGAATGAAGTGAAAGTCAAACCAACTAGGTTGTTTGATGCACACTAGGGAGCAAGTATATAAATACCTAGGCTTCCGTTTGTGCTTGAGACCTGAGCTTGTGTTTTCGTGTGGGGCTCCATATCCAGGATATGTTAAATAAAGATCATTTTTTAAAGTAAAAAGACCACTTTTGAGCCGTGTCTTTTTGGCTGTAAAGAATACAAAAGAACCGGAATTTAACACAGGATAAAGGGTAAGAGAAGGGGTAAGCACAGACAGAACCGAACAAAATACAAGGAGAGAGAAAAACCAAGAATCCAGTCAAATGTAAATAGAAGTTCACTTGACAACTCTATTAGCTGTTTATGCAACAATTAAATTAACATTTTTAATGATCATCTGTAGAAAAGTTTGAATCCTGACCTCAGAGTCTCCAGTTTACAATTTGGACTCTTCAGTCCAGAAGATAGAAGCTTCATTCCTAAATCTTGTAAGATGTTGTTACTGAGGTCCAGCTCTCTCAGGCGTGAGGATTGGGAGCTGAGAACTGAGGACAGAGCTTCACAGCTTCTCTGTGAGAGGTTACAGGTGCTAAGTCTGAAACACACACACACACACACACACACACACACACACACACACACACACACACACACACACACACACATATGTAATGGATTTTATTTAATATGTTTTTATATGTTGATCTGACCTGTGTCAGTGTACACTACAATTAATGATTAACTAAAAATAAATACAGTTAAAGTTTAGAAAAAACAATGCAGTAAAAATCGTGAAAGCTCAATCCATCCCATCCAAGATCACTACCTTATTGTGGTTTAGCAGTTTGTTTGTCCCAGGGATCCCAGGGGCAGTGTGTCAGGTAGCTTTTGCCCCCTGGTAGGGTCACCCATTGCAAACTGGTCCTGGGTGAAGGACCAGACAGAGTGATTCGAAAGACCCCTATGAGTAGAACATCAACAGAACAGTTTGCCCTGCCCAGGATAGGGTTACCGGGGCTCCACCCTAGAGCCAGGCCCTGGGATGGTGCCCGAGGGCACAGTTTTAAAAAGGGACATGGGCTCATCACCCTGTGAGCCCCCCAGCCGCAGAAGGCGGTGCAGTGGTCAGGTGCAATGTGTGCCAGGCAGTGGCAGGAGTGGAAGACATAAACACAACGGTATCCAAAAGTGCACATGCAACCAAGACACCCTAGGCCACAGGTCAGTGATCGAGTTTGTAATCATCTCAGACCTGCAGTCATGTATTCTGGAAACTCAGGTAAGGTGAAGGGCTGTCCCCATGCTTTTTAATTCCTTTTGTTATCCAGTGTATCATAAACCCAGCTACTGTTTGGTTAAGGTTGCCCTCCTCCATGAAGGTTCACCCTACATTTAATGTCTCTGAACTCAGGCCTGTCTCTTGCAATCCTCTGTGCCCTCTTTCCAGACCCCTTCTGGCTGCCTGAGTGGTAGATAGTGCCCAAGCCTATACGGTGCCTGACATATAGGATGTCATTCATCATTCATGTCTTTCATTTTGGACCCTGACCTGACTAATGACTTTTACATGAGGCATCCCGACAAGCCAAGGAGGCTGCCTGGAGGAGTGCATTTGGGGAGCGGATTATTAGGAACCGGGATGGTGTGTGTTGTTGTTGTGTTGTCATTCCCATTTTTCTGAGCACTTCCTGACTTCCCGACACACCTGTGGCGCATCAGGCATTATCAGTCAGGGGTAAAAAAGGAGCAGTGCAGCTAATGTCTGGTGTCAGCATATGTCTCACCCACAAGTGGTAAAGTGGCAGTTGTACTTAGCGGCTGATTTTGCGACTGAAAAAGTGCTTAAGGGATTCTTGCCTGTCTTCCTTCCTCCAGCTTGTCTCTTTTCCACCATCCGCCTGTGCCTCCAGCTCTATGCAACCCCATCCAAGCCGGTAAAAAAACGTGTAACGTGTTAACTGTGTAACTCTATTTCTTCATGTAACTCTTGTCTTTCCTCTTGTCTGTTCGTTTTGATACTTTGGTATCACAGTTCGATATTTTTTCGATACAAAAAAATGTTCATGCCTTTTTTAAGTTATTAAAATTATAAATATTTCTTTTAACTCAAAAGTACAGTTTTTAAATTAAATGTTGCTGAAACAACATAATAATGAAAAAAATTAAATGTATCTGATGGAGAAATCACTCATCTGTGGAAAAGAGCGTTGATTACAGAGAAATGTCTCTTTCCAAAATAAAAGCTATTTTGTCGACAGCAATAAAAGTAGCAATTGCTCTGTCTATCTCTTTTGCCCTCTTAGTATCATGTTCTAACGGCTGTCTAAATGACTTGGGTAAAGGTTGTAGCATGCGTGCTTGTTTTTGTTTTTGTCTGCTTCCACTTGTCTTTGCACTAGCATGATGTCGGCATAAATGTGCAGTCACATCCGACATACTGTTGTACTTTTGTCCACGATGCACTTAAGTAGGGTCATACTTGAAAACAAAAATAGTTCCAAACGCCAGATCTGAGTGATGGTGGATAAGGTTCAACTTTGGGTACTGTTGAGACAGTTACCATGCAAACTTGAGTGAATGCATGTGGGCGGCGCTCAGTGGATCTGCGCTCGACAATGCAGCCTAGGTGAAGTAATCAAGCACAGATCCACTGAGCCCTCAACACAGACAGCATTGTCAGAAGAAAAGTTGACCAAATAAATTAAAGATCTTGTATCGTTCAATACATATGCATACCAAACCGAGGGTGCAAGATGCTAACAGGCAAGGCATACATGGAACGCCATAACCAAGTGGCTGGCATAGTGTACAGGAACATCTGTGCCGAGTATAACCTGGAAGTCCCGAGGTCAAAATGGGAGATGCCCCCAAGGGTGGTGGAGAATGACCGAGCTAAG